GGAAAGGGGCGGCGCGGCGTGGTCCCGCAGGCGGGAGCCAGAGGGGACCGACGGAGGAAGCGGAACCTTTCCGTTCCGGTGGGTGGAGTCCTTTTGATGTTTGGGGTAAAAGGACCCCTTTTCGGGTTCTCCTACGGGGGAGCTTTTTTTTCCACCTCTTTCCGGTAAGGTGGGAACTCATCTTGGGCGATCGAGTTTAAAAGAACAATGGAAGCCTGGCTACGTTGAAAGAAAAAAAAAATAAAACTTGTTTTTTTTTTCTCTTATTTTTTTTCTTTTCCCCTTTTGGGTGTTGGCTCTTAACTCTTTCAAAGCCGATGTTGAAAACGGCTGCGGGGATCACCGGGGAGAAGGGACTTGCCGCCCCTGGAAAACCTTGATGACGTGAAGGTTGTCTTTTTAAAAAATGCAAGTTGGAGGAGGAGGAGTGCGTCTGGCATTTCAAAAAAAAAAAAAAATGGGAAAGACAAGTTTACTGTCATGTCAGGGCGGTTTAATGGGAATAGATTTGAATGCTGGGGCCAGGGCGATGACGTCTGGTTCATAATAACTGGCATTTTCCGAGTTGCTCCGGCTTTCGGATATTTGGATGGTGATTAAATACACCCGTTTCGGTACTTTTTTAAAAAAAGGTCATCAGGAGCCGTTATCTGCAAACTGATCGCACCTGCATGTTGGAACGCACTTGAGCCTGCTCCTAGACTTTTAAAAGTTTCAGTTCGTCATTTTACGGTTTTTTTTAAAAAAATCATCATCATCCGTATAGTCCCAAGCCGTGGTCGACAAAAGTTTTACAAAGGGCTGTTCGGCCCCCCAGATGTCCTTTTGGAGTTACTTTCTCGCAGTGTAAATATTAAAGTAGGCTTGCTCTCTGGAAATGGACGGAGCAGAGGAGCCATATTTGTTGCATTTGTTGCATGCACGAACATCTAGATGTTCTTACCCCCGGAACAGTATTTTAATAGGTGTCGGTTTCAGAAATTCTGCAGTCCTCCGCCTATGCATCTGGGAATAACGTTGGGGAGGGAATTTAAGTTTTCGGTTTGCACAGGCCGCAGGTGCAGAAAACCTTTGTGTGTTTTGGGAATATATTTGTCTTCATTCTGCGGTGTGGGTGTTGTAAAGTGCAGATTTTGCCTAAAAAGGCTGTTGGTAAATTCCTCAAGTTTACCCAGTCCTTCTAAGATCACAGGTAACTGCTGTAATCGACCGCCTTTCGGAAGGTATTTTTGTCGGCAAAATGGTTTTATTTCCGAATAGCATGCATCTCGTGCTACATGTTACATCAGTTGCGCATATCTTGATTTTACAGGCTCTGTTGTTTAGGTACCAGTTTTGTTTTGTTTGTTTATTCAAACTGGCGTTTTTGAAATTTTTGGATGCTGAAAGTGGTCTTAAATGAATATTCTGAATCTGGTATCTCAGAATCCTTTTTGAAGAGTGAAATGCAAAATAATTGCTGGCATTTGCTACCTCATCAGATCTTTTTACAAGAGTAATGGGGGAAGGGAGAGACTGAAAGTGTTAAAGACCCTGGTTTGAAATTGAATAAATGTCCTAGTTACTACATGTTTGAAAGTTGCTTAAAAGACAAAGCTAGTATCCCACTTGGTGAGATCAAATAACTTGTAATTTAAAATTTAAAGTAACCAGTGGCCATTTTAAACTTCACTAATTTCTCCTAGAAGAGTAAATTTTCAATTACTCATAATTTTAAAAGGCATTCTTTGATGGGAAGGGAAATGTTAATATTTGAGTCTTTGAAAATGGTAAACTTTTCCCTTTTTTTTTTTGGTGTTGCCTGTCATCAAAAGAAGAAAGATAAAAACAAGGTCATAGTCTTAAATCTGTCCAAAGATATAAAGCTGTATTTTTTTGTTTCAATGCCTTAGTCACAAGTATTAGTCTATGCAACCAAAAGGTGAGGAAAACAAAGACTGAGAGATGTTAAGATAAGAAATAATTGCAACCTAAAATGTACAGGTAGTGTGTGATGAGCTGTCTCTTACATTTATCCATAGATTATTGAGTGTTTTGTTTTCATTGTTTCATCATACTGAAACTTAGGCCAAGAAATGTTTAAAAATCAAAACATTGATATCTTCCTTTTTTTTTTTTTAAGGTAACTTACAAGATTAAAATAAAATTTGGTTGATGGTTCTGAACAGATACAGCTCTTTTACTTGAGGTAAGACCTGGTAAATTTTTATTACTTTGACATAAAAATAAGCTTATTAGGCTTTGTTTTTGTTCTTTGAGAATTTATTTTTCCAGCAAGTAGTGATTATGAATATGAGTAAATATCGGAAATAATTTTGCCAAGCTTTTAAATCTTTTCATGGGATAGAAAGTATT